GCCCTGGTTGTTGGGGTGGGTTTTTTTTGTTCTTTTCCTAACCTAGGTTTTGCCATAACAAACACTGACAGGACCTAAATGTTTGGGACTGGAAAGAAAACTGATGATAAACTATAGATCACAGAGTGGTAATTAAGTGAGACAGTAAACCCTGGAAAAATAGGCGTGGATGTCAGATAAGTTGTTTAGCTCCAAACATGTGGAGTTTGAAAGGCCTTGTGAGATGCCCAGAAAAGGAGGTCCACCGCTAGGCAGCTGAAAGTTGGAGTTTAGAATTTAGTGGTCAGTGTGGGTTCCTAATATGTTTGGGTAGGAGGTGAAATGAGAAGGAAGGGAGAGAGGCATGATCCTTTTTGGAGAACAGCTGGGAGAGTGCACATGAGTTTTGAGGAAAGGCCACTGACAACCAGTAGCCTCTAGCCACATGTGCGTTTAAATATAAAATTATGATTAATTCAAATTGAAAATTCATTTCTTCCATCACCTCAAGAACTTAATGCCTCCTGTTATGTGGGAGGTAGCAAATCCAGAGCATTCCCATCTTAAAAAAAGTTCTGCTGCATAGTGCCACTGTAGACAATGGCACAGCAAGGGGGAAGGCCAGAAAGCAAGCACAGACTGGGGATGGACAAGAGGGGGAGCACTCACCCCAGCTTAATCCCCAGTATCACAAATGGCTCCTGAGCACTAGATGGAGTGATCCCTGAACAGAGCCAATACAAAGCCCTGAGCACTGCTTAATGAGGCCCAAACACCAAAACAAGAAACAAACTGGGCTGAGTCAAAGGCCCTGTTAATGACAATACAGAATGGTAACTCAGTTACCCTTTGATATTCCTACTTTTTTAAATTTTTAGACAAGATCATTTTGAAAGGACATTGATCTTTGTGCTATTTGCCTAAGAAGTGTTAAACATGAGGAAGATGCTGACTGGTACTTTGCATCAGTGTAAAACTCTCAATTTTACCTTTTAGGCCCAACTTCGACAGTGTATGTCCAAGCAGGCCGAGGTGTTAATTAAAGGAAAGCGGCAGACAGAGGGCACTTTGCACAGCTTGAGGAGACAAGTGGATGCACTAGGGGAATTGGTCACCAGCACCTCGCTAAACTCCTCGTGCTCAACCAGTATGTCTCAGCTGGACACTTGCATCACGGAGGACTCTCGCCTTGGACCCACCCAGGTAAGAGAACCTCTTCACAGCAGGTCCCATCTAAACAGTTTTAGATTTGAAGGCTGTAGGCAATATAATGTAGAGGCCACTCAGGACACACATGCCACTTCCCAGTCTCTGGAGAACTTAGTTTGAGTTTTTTTTCATGGGCCTCCAGGAAACTAGAACCAGCTGACTGGTATATGTACCAAAAAGAACAAACGAATGACCTAAGAATAGACTTGAGACTGAGATCTGCCAGGGCAGTTCATCCTGTTCATCTTCTACTACTATTCCTCATTTTCTACTCAAGTCAATACACTACGTTTTGCCTGTGAGGCAAATTTTAATTTGTTCAACTTTATTAGAGGTAACCCTGTGACTGCCAGTTGTTCTTCCTTAGCATCATGTTTGAATGCAGACCTCTTAACACGGGGCTTATTTTAGAAAGCAAGACTTTTTTATGTGATCTTAGATATAGTAAATAATCGTTTAGTAGGAACTTGAAGCATACTTTTGGAATTGGTGAATAGTAACAAGTGTTCCCAGAGACAGGTAATATACGGCCATTTTGTGTGCCTGCTGTATGTACTAAACACATTGCATATCTCATTTAGTCTTTATTACATCCTAGAAGGTAGGAATTTCCCGTTAGGAAATTGTAAAAAAACAAAGGGGGTGGTGGTGAATGAATGAGAGATCGCACAGAATACCCACTTCACTCAGTAAATAGTAAATGAATAATGTATTTCACTCAATTGGTTCCAGGAAGTTTCAGGTCAGCAGTAGGCATTTCTTTAAAGTTTGGGGTAGGGGGATAAAGGCTGTTATTTGGAAGTTATACATGGATTTTCAACTATGCAGGGGTCAACACTATGTTGAAAGATCAGTTATATTTTGGAATTTGGGGTCATAATCCAGGTGGGGCAAAACCCTGAGCTGGCTGGATCTCAGGGGCTGGTCTGAGCTTACTTAATATTCTGTTCCCCTTCAGAACTCTTTCCAACAGGTTCTGCAAGGTCCAGTACATCTACCAGACAGTTACCGACATTGATGCCATCCCCTGCTTCCTGCTCACCTGGTACATGTCAGTTTTCACTGTTATTTTAATTGGAAGATCTTAAATTCAGTCAGTCTTAAAAATTCATCTCTTAACTTTTTCTTGAATAATTCTAGTTTGATATATAAAACATGGAGCTGAGGAGATAGGTTGGTAGGGCATGACTAGCAAGTGTAAGGCCCTAGAATCTATCCCCAGCACAGGGTGTCCTGGGCGCTGTTAGGCCCAAGTGGACACTAAACATTGTCTTATAGGTACTGAAGCATTAGAATAGCAGGTGTGACACTTGCCTTGCATGTGGTTGACCCAGTTTCAATCCCTGGCACCCCATATGGTTCTCCAAGCACTGTCAGGAGTTGATCCTCTAGTGCAGAGCCAGGAGTAAGCCTAGTACATTGCCGGGTACCAACCCCCACAAAAAAATTTTATATACACACACATATACATATGATTTATGAGTGTATAAATAATATACGGGCATATTATGTATAATAGTCTCAAATCCAAACATTTGGGGCTGGAGATGAATCAAAAAGTGCTGGCCTGTATCATTGCCCCATAAAGTCCCACGAGTGTCCTTGGCCTCATGTGACCCGTTTTTAAAAAGAAAAAATACTTAACCAGAGGTACGCAGATATACTTTTTACCCTCATTTAACTCCTGTTTATACTAATAGAATTCACCCTTTCTTTCTGTTTACCATAGGAAAAGAATGACAGCCATTTGAGAAACGACTTAAAACACTTCTACTACCTCACTGACTTTGTAATTGGAATGCAACTTAGTTTTTTATCAAGAACCAGTGAACTGAGATGCTAAAACTCCCCTCCAAGTTTCTTTCACTTCTACAATTAATGCAATCATTTCTGTAAATCACTTATACATACAGGAATCGTTGTATACAGTTTAAATTAATGTCCTAGATGACTGAGGTTTCAAATCTTTTTTTTTTACTGTAAATCTGAATCTATAAACAGGTAAAACCTGTGATTACAAAAAAGGAAAAATGTACTGTTTATTATATTGTGTCAGAATATTTTGGATTTTGCTTAAAATCTATTTTCCTATGAAAATGAGAATAAAAGAAAATAAAACTTGGGACTGTTGTCAGGCTTTGTATTTCACAAAGTATCAAATTTTTAAGTTAACTAGAAGAAAATTTCAATTTTTACAATGGTTTGCCCTCTGAAGGCTAAAGCATATTATACAGTTAATACATCTCATCACTGAGGAATGAGAAATAGCGATTAAAAAACTATTATACTTCAGATACTCTTCCAACAAAAGCAGTTTGGTAGAAAATTAGAACTTTGTATATCGGAGTACCTAGCCAGTAAATTCATATTGTGTTGGATCTTTTTAGTTCAAAATTTGAACTAATTTTGAACTAGTCCATGACCCACATGTGTAACATTTGAGAAGAATGCCAGCAACTATCAACTGATGTGGTGTATGAAATACATCTGCTTTAAAAGTATTCCCAAGAACTGTTAAGACGCCCGACACAAATTGCCCAACAAATACTGAGATTACCCTGTGTTACGAGACTAACACAGGGTAATCTTCAATAAGCCTTTACCACCTACTGTAGTTAAAATTTTCTAAAAAGTTTGGCCAGATCTAAAATTCCACCAAATTAAGGAATCATGAAGTAACATAAAAATCAGTATCAGTAAGTTCTAGGCTTCCATTTCTAAAATAAAAATTGATTTGGTGGTCTTTTCATTTTAACAGTTAGTGGGATACTTAAAAGCCTCGTCTTTCCAACAGAAATAAAATTTCTTACTCTGCCAACATGAATGAATATTTATTTGCCATCTGAATCCCTATTTATATCTTTAGCTGAACAGGAATCAAATTTTCTGTTAAGGGGAGTAAACCACACATCTCTTTTTAAATCACCTAAATGTGATTGTGGTGAATGTGGGGGCAAGAAAGTTATCAAAACCACAGTACTATGGAGTTGAGATAAGTGAACCCCAAATACCTGGTTCCAAAGGTATCTTTTCCAAGATATTACTGCTTCTAACTAGTAGTATGTGACCACTACTATATAAAAATGAAAGTTTATTGTAGATGCTCCAACATTTTACTGGAATGTTTAACGCATAAAGAATACTAAGTACCAATTACTAATCAGAAGGGACTCTTCATAGGGCAAGGGTAATAATAACTCAGAGGAGCAGGTGACCACATTAAGTAATAAGTTCTCATGGTTTAAAAATTAAAAGAACTGGGGGCTGGAGCAATAGCACAGCGGGTAGGGTGTTTGCCTTGCACACAGCTGACCTAGGTTCGATTCCCAGCATCTCATTTGGTCCACCGAGCACCGCCAGGAGTAATTCCTGAATGCATGAACCAGGAGTAACTCCTGTGCATCGCCAGGTATGACCCAAAAAGCAAAAAAAAAAAAAAAAAAGAACTTCACATTCGCTGAAGTATACTTGCCCAGCATCTGGCACACCAATCTTACAATGACAGTTTGCTCCCGTATTTTTAGCACCCAAGTTTATTACAGGGGATAACACATGCAAATAACAGAACTTGGCCCCAAGTACAGTCAGGAGGGGACTATCAGCTCCCTAATGTGCTGATCTCACACTGAAAAAGCTCTACTGAAACAATATTCTGAGTGTGGTCCAAACACATGGATAGACTAGCTGATTTGGATATAAGCTATATACACAGACTTATATACAACAGGCAATTCTGAATAGAAACAATTCATGACAATAATTGCTTGCCTGAATATGAAACCCTAACATAGTACATAAAAAATGCAAACGAGTTAATTTAATCTAGATATAGGTACTTTATTTACAAATATTTAGATTAATAGCATTTTGTTACATCAAATAAAGAGTACACCAGCCCGAATAAATCCTGTCACAGAAACAATAAGACCAACTCTGTAACTAACTTTGGGAATCAGGGTATTGCACCTAAACAAGCCAGCAGTCTTTAGGTTGTGATTGCTACCTTATATCCAATGGGTGGTTGGTTTGTTTTAATTTTGTAAATATATACACACACCTTAGGTCATGGTCCCTGGGCAGTCCCTTGGATGCATCAGTGTAAGCAAAATGGATCACTGTTAAGTCTTTAACAGAATAGACCAATCTACTCCAGGAAGCTTTTTTGTTTAAATTAAAGACAAAAATAAAAACCAGCCCACAAATTAACCAGATCCTATTATCTGCACATTCCAGTTTTGGCTTTTATTTAACAATGACTATACAATACTTCGATACTACCACATGTTTACAACCCAAAAAGATGTATATTTTCTTCCATGTCTGTAAAGAGGGATTTGAAATGTGTATTTTAAACACAGCAGCTGAGTTCATTTTATATAAATATGCTGAGGTTTACCTCACTTCAAATAACTTCTCAATTTGAAGTCCAAACCATAAACTTAATTAGTTATCAATCAACAGAACTTAGAAATCAAAAATTTGATGTCTAAACAAGATTGTTTTCCCTTGCAATACAGTATCCTTCAATGGTAAAACCACCTAGTGCAAGTGTATCAGCACTAACATTAAAATACCACTAGAAACTTTCTCTTCTACAAAACAATTATGCCAAAGTGTCATAAAATAGCCTCTCACACTAATAACACAAGGGATATTTTTAATTATTCTACGGTAGTGTTAAAAATGCACATTTTAAAATCCCTTAACAGCAGACCTGTGGTTCTGTTTTATACTCTCACCATTCCAAGAAGATAAAGGTATAAAAGCTTAAAATGTGCAATAATAAACCCAGCCTTTTTTCTTTTTTCTATACAGTAAGGCAAGAAATGCAGCCTGTAATGCAAAACGTTTACAAAAAGAGAAAAGCAGGTTAGCACATTGTCGATTGCACAGAACAGTTAAGAAAATCAGCAGGTAAGCCACAGTGCAAAGATGGAACAATCTGCTAGTGTTAATCCTCTCACGCCAGGCATTCTTTTCAGCATAATGTCCCCAACACTGTCAGCACCAACAGGCAGAGACAGTATTACTTGAATTGCAGTTGTGTCTATTTCCTTGTGTGAAATGGAAGGGAGTAACATGGTCACATATAGGTCATACTGTACAAACTGGTATTTTATACTGTTCCAATGCCAGTAATCAATTTATTTTCTTCATTAAAATAATATACACAGAATGTATTGTTAGTTCAGTTCCTTCAAAATTTATACATATTTACTTTTTGCTAAAGAGAAAAGAATAAAATGGTGTAAAAAAAAGAGAAAGCTATTACGCACAAGAGGAAAAGATAAATGGCTATTTTCTCGGTGCAAGGCTGACAAGCAAACCTCCTCAAGAAAAATGCCACCCACACAAGAGGGAATTTATGACAAAAACAAAATAAAAGCAGTTACAGAATTCTTTCTCAACTACCAGAAGTCATTTCACAGCAATAAACATTGGTTACAACAGACATACGTTAACAGTAAAAGATGGAAAAAAAGGTTTAAGATACCATCAAATTAAACCGTACAGTGAGACAACGCATTGCCCAAAAAAGGGATAAAAATCATGAAGACAGCATCAGTGTTCAGTTTAAATCATGTATTGGTGACATACCTATGAGAAGACAATTGGGGGAAAAAAAAGTCTAGATTTACCATGCAGGAGAGATTTATTACTCTACTTGCCTTTGATAACCTGATTACATCTAGTTGTTAGCAGTTTAGTATTGTGTTACACTGTTTTTACAACAGAGCTGTTTTTTCTTTTCTTTTTTTTTTTTTTAATTAAACCCAGTAAGATGTACAGAAGACAATGAGGCAGTAAAAAGTACTGCTTCCAACTGACAGAGGTGAAAGGTCAAATGAGGGCCATGGCAAAGAGGTCACTAGCAGCCACAGCCTTCTCTCTGAGGTTGGGGTTCACTGGTTAGCCGGCCTCCCTGTGGAGCTGAAGGTTTGTGTTGTACACCAGACTCAGCAGCATTCAGGTCAAGGCTTCCATCCTGAATGTTCTGGTAGATTTTCTTGGCAGCTTCAAGGAAAGCATCTTCAACATTCTCTCCCCTAAGAAGCAATGCACACCCTTATTCAAGAACTAAAGCTCTCCACAAAAGGTATACCAGTATACACTGATCTGGTGCTAACCTTTCATCAACTGCCATGATGTCTTCAACTTAGACACTGCGATCTATTAAGAGATTACCAGAAGACTGAGCTAAGAGAACATGGGAAAATGTTTTCTGTGGAAGGTACAAAGGCCTGGAACCACTATTTCTAAACCATACAACTATGTGCCCATCACTAAAATGTTATATAATCACATGTAAACAATTAAGAGGCCTTTTCTATTACAACAGAAGTTACCTCCCAACAGAAATGAAAGTACCTTCAAGTACACAGACCAACATAGGCAAATCTGTATGATCTGATTAGACAAGCATAAACTGTAGTGTTTTTATCATGTGAAAGTGACAGATTCTTGCTTAGCCATGTTCTCAATTTAGTGTAGTTCTCCCGGGGCTTGGAGAGCCCAGCAAGCTACTGAGAGTATCCCGCACGCAGGGCAGAGCCTGGCAAGCTCCCGGTGGCGTATTCGATATGCCAAACAGTAGCAACTCCACAATGGAGAAGTTACTGGTGCCCACTTGAGCAAACTGATGAACAATAGGGCTTACATTATAGATGTGCAGGTAAATAGAGAGGCTAATTTCTCACCATTTGAATGGGACTGCTAACCTAATCAGTGAAAAACTATGACTGAACTGCTAGGGTTCAATTAAGGATATGAAAATTAAAGAATTTAATTATGCTTCTGATTCCTGAGACCTTACAATGTATTTCCTTAATAAAGGGAAAAGTAGGCTTTTAAAACAAACAAAACTGTAATCATAAGTATACAAGCTGACCACACTCAAACTACCAAACTCTACCTCAATTGTGTAAGTCAAACACTTCTAAAATGCTAACAAAATTTTATTATTAACCTGAGTTATTGGTGGGCCTAATTTAAAAAATTGAGATGTAAAACAGAACTGAAGGTTGTTTGGCTTTTCTTAATTGCCTTCAGCATTACATATTTAAATGTTACACATTACATACAGTATAAATTTTATATACGTGGTTCTACTTTTGAGGAAATTTAATGTAATTGAAAATGATCTATATTTCAGTTATACTTACGTTTTTGCACTTGCTTCAAGGAACAATAAGCCTAAAAGCAAAATTTAAATTATAATTAGATCATTTCAAATTAACTATCTCCTCAATAATATCTAAATGAAAGTTTCCTACCAGCTTTCAATACTACTTTCCATAGTATTTTATGAAAGAGTAAGAGTCTGAGACGGAGGAAATAAGCAGCCATCAAAATTAATCTTTCTTTAGAATCCTCCCCATTATGTCCCCCAAAAAGCTATTAGAAGTCATTAAAGAAACCCACCATTTTCTTCAGCAAACTGCTTGGCTTCTTCATATGTAACATCTCTCTGTGCCTCCAAATCTGCTTTATTTCCTATGAGAATTATTACCTAATTTGTGATTTAAAAAAAAAAGACAACTTAAAAGCAATCATTTAAGTTAACCAAGAAAATTCTAAAACCCAATAATGCTGCAAATATGAAAAAGTAGGAAACCAAGTACTACCATTTATCCATCTACAGAATCAGTATCCAGCAGGAGCTCTGAAACCCAATCATGAACAACTTTGTAACTTCATTTATCACAGTGATTCATTATTTAAAAAAAAAAAAAGAAAGAAATCTAGGACAGGGTTGACAAAGGGAAGAAAAGCTTCAAATATATGGTCCCATGTGGTCTCTCTATACATATTTTTCTTTTTTTCAACAATCTTTATAAGTTCCATACAGAATTGTAAATCATTATATCTCAGTAAGATGGGGGCAGTGCAAACACGGGGGCAGAGAGACTGCTCCAAGAGCTGGAGCACATACTTTGCATTCAGGAGCACCCGGTTCACTCCCCAGCATCACAGCATGGTGGACACAAGGCCCCCATCCCCCAACCCTGTCTTCCTGCAAGCACCACACCACTTAAAAAGCAATACCCAGAGATGTGAGTTAGTTCACAATCCAAGGCAAAATATCATATGCCAATATCCACTGTGGAATCATTTACAGAATGACATTGGGACAAAGTTAAAGGCAATTCTAAAAAAGGTCTCAGGAAATAAAAATGTGTGAAGGCAAGCTTGTGAAGGAAGGCTTCTGCAGTTATTTGACCGGGGGGGTGGATGGTGATGGATAAAGAATCTCTGCACTAGGGGTAAAGGCAGCTCAGATAGAGAAGGGAGCACCAAATAAAGGGTGCTGGGAAGATCTGCCCAAGCTGGGAGATGCCTGCTGAAAGTAGTCCATGGACTGAACATGATTGCCACCCAATGTCTCTTCTGCAGACCACAGCACCCAAAAGGAGAGATGGAACAAAAGGGAGTGCCCTGCCATAGAAGCGGGGTAGGATGGGGGATGGGGGGTGGGAGGGATACTGGGATTGGTGGGGGTGGAGAATGGGCACTGGTGGTGGGATGGGTACTCGATCATTGTATAACTGAAACCCAAGCACAACAACTTGTAAGCCTACATACAACTGTACCTCATGGTGTTTCACTAATTAAAAAAATAAATAAATATAATAAAAAAATGAAATGGCAATTTAGGAAAAAAAAAGAATCTCTGCAGTCATGGAAATAGGACAGCAGCAGGCAAAGTGCTCGCTTTCCACGTAGCCAACCATGGTTGATCCCCAGTACCACATATGGTCCCCCTCTATCACATACAGTCCCCAGCAGAATTGATCCCTAAGTACAGGGCCAGCAGTCAGTCATGAGCACAGTCAAGTGTGGTCCAAAAATTGAAAAATATAAAACTCTGCATATACACCAGAGAAGGTAAACACACACCCGCCCACCTGCCCCTTCCAAACAGGATAATCCAGAGACAGGTAAATTTAAGGTATGGATAGTTACAACTCAAATTTCCACCATTAACTTTTTCAATGAAATTACTGTCCCAGCAGGCTCTCTAATTTCCAAGACATGCTATCCAGTAAACAGCAATCATGACATGAATATAAACCCTGAGCTGGAGCAATTATGTAACCAAAGTGCCCACTGTCCACCAGTCCTTAAACACAGTCAAGTAGTAACATTTCCAAAAGGAAGTAAATTAAGGCTGGTAATCTCAACAGCCATTATAACATAGTCCTCAGACAAGAAACAGGTGCTGTACAGAAACAGCCTCTCTCCCAATTGCTTAGAAATTTCAAAACCTTATTCCTACCATTCTAAAAGTGAAGAGTGTGAAATGGCAACATGACAGGCACAGAATAGACCAACAACAAAATCAAAGTACCTAATTTCTACCTAAAAATCAAAGGCAAAGTATGACATACAGTATTTCAGCAGAGCGTTATAAAATGCAATTTCTGGGACGAGCTCAAAGGGTGCATGGACTCAGAGGCCTGGATTTGATCCCCTGCAGCACAGTCCTGTCCCTCTCCCCTCAGCACTGCACAGCGCCGAACCACTACTACTGTGACTGACACTAAGTGATCAGCCAGCAGTGGCTCCTGCCAGGTGTGGCCCAAAACAAAGCAAGAGATTTTCTGAGACTGAGGCAATACAGCTCAAGTGGGAGTACCTAGCCTGGAGTTCAATCCCAAGCAACACCAAGTCCAAACAACTGGGTTTTGTTCCGCTTGTTGTCATTCATGATGTTATTTGTATTTTCAAAGAGCTAAATAAATATTTTAATTTTCAAAAAAAGAAAAACCGGTTATAGCATGGCCAGGAGTGAACTCCCAGGTCTCCCTAACCCCACCTATCAAAACAATAAAAAAAGATTTTCTTCTGAAGACCTGGTAAGACCTCAAGATTTGAATAACAGAAATACAAAAACTTGTATTGTGTAAAGGTCCTGTGTGCCCTTCACCAAGCTTTCCTAAGAGTAGCAACTCCATACTTACAGTGCATTCACCAAACCAAGAAACTACCTGGAGTCTACTCAGATTTCAACAGTTTTAGATGCTCTCACACTCACAGGTGCCTACAGTTTCATGTACTTTCACTGTATGGTGCAGATATATGTCACTATAATCAGGACAAAGAACTACAAAGAACTACTTTGTCTTGCCTTCTGGAGTCAAACTCATACACACCTCTACCCAGAGTGCTAGACTATGACTACAAATCTATTCCCAATATAGACAATTTTGTCTTTTGGTAAATATTTTACATTAAATGCATCACATGTAATTGTTTGAGATTGCCATTCTTCACTCACTAAAATGCTTGAGATGGATCTAGATTACTGAAAATAGCATGTTATATTTTTAACCACTCTCTAGATTGTTTCCAGTTTGGGGCTATTGCAAATATAAATGCTATGAACATTCATTCATAGATTTGAACCTACATATGTACTGAATTTAGTGCTAAAACAAATATGAAAATTGCAGGCAGTTCCTGAAATCATAGGCCCCAAAAATAAAATCATGTTCTCAGTAGAATCAAATTGCTGTTCCCTCATAAATGCAAAATTTTAACACTAATTACATCTTTACTGAACCAAGTTTCTTCCAGGTGCTAGGGGTCCAAAGTTAAGTGAGGCAAAGGACTTATTCCTGGGAGTCCCTTAGGGGCATCTGATGAAACCTTCCCCCAGCTGTCATCCAGCACAGCTGAAACCACCATCTCTGTAAGCTGGTCCCTTCAGAGAACAACCTTCATTCAAACTTCACTGCCTTTGCATATACTTTGTGTCCCTATTTATGTTCTTCCTGTTAGATGAAGATACCTTCTGCAGTCCAAGGACTTACACTTATTTCTATAATGCTGAGACTTTAGGATGGTGGCTGGCAGGTCTTTAAATCTCAGTAATTTTTTTTTTCTGTTTGAGAAGCTAGCTTTTTAAACTATGTGCAATGCTATTTTTAACTGGAATTTTATCAGGCAATTATAGACACACCTGTCGTTGTAAGAACCATCAAAGTCATAAACTTTGCCCAGCCTCTTCCAATGCAACATTTAATGAAATAAACAGACACCCCTTTTAAAGTGATGGTAGTTTCAGATTTCGCTCTCCAATTACATGAGATCACTACTCTCGTAACTTTCATTTTTTAAATCACAAACGTAAACAAAGACCAAGTATGAGCCAAAAAACCTGGAATTATACCCCAAAAAGTTACATTTTTTGGAACTTACTTAAGAATCAACTTTCTCTTAAGTGACCAAATATAAAATCCCCACTAGCAAATGCTTTTCATTTCAGGTGAGCTTAGATTTTAAATTTTCTGTGTAATAACTGACACTTAACTTACAGTATTTGGATTGGTGAGATTCCTTGCATCTGTCAACCAGCTGCTTAAGTGGTTATACGTACTTCTTCTGTAAAAATCAAAGTTTACATTTGTTAACTACCACAAACAACTGCCATTTCCAATAGAAAAAAAAAAAACTTCAATAAGTATTTTAAACGTTTTAATCAGCAGAACCTTTTAAAAAAACTTTTTAACTAAATTGTTATTTTTGATACAAAAGGCATGGAATGCTGTCACAAACCTTTCAAACACCTAGCCAAACCTGTATTATTAAACAAGTAACTTGACATTCAATAATTGTGCTTATTACTTACATGTCAGGAGCAAATTATCTATGCTTTAAAGTATATCTATATCACCTATATAAATAGCAATCTTTAATATTTAAAAGTACATCAGCAATCAAGACAAATAAGCAAGCAAAGACCACATAAAATTGATGTAAAGGGAAGAATTTCCAATCTGAAAGCGGAAACTGCTTCTGATTGAAAATCTTATTTTCAATCATTTTTCCAGATTAAATCACAAAATGAAGACTTAAAAAAGTAGTAATAAAGTGTCTAATCAATGACACAATAGAAAACATTTTTGTATCTGTCTTTAAATTTTTTTTAGTTAGAAACCAAGAGTCACTACCATAGGCTGGCATAAAACTGACCTTTCCTGAACAAGTGTAAGCTAACTACAACAGCATAAAAATGGCTTTAAAAAAGCTTTTTAGGCCAGAGAGACAGCTCCACAGGCTAAGCATGTGCCCTGCACTGAAAGAGATCCAGGTCTGGCGTGATCCTTAGTATAACTTCAGTTACCCAAAACTGGCGTTAAGAGTAGCCCCAGTGAGCCATGGGATGTGTTCCCCACTGCCCACCACTTCACATCCTTCCCCTGCACCTCCCCCGCCCAAAAGAGAGTATTTACAGGAGCCTAGAAAGAACTCAGTGGTAGAGTGCAGCCTTGCAAGCATGAGACCACAAATTCAATCTCAGATACACCCACATATGCTAAGTACAAATCCCCCTGCCTCTGGGGATCCCCAGCATCACAACATACTATGCAATCACAAGTGTGCACTCAATGAAGTATGAAGTAGCAAGCTCTGCAACAATTCACAAGTTCCATAACTCAAGTATGCAAACTCTGCAACTAAGTGTGTGAACACTGCAACAAGACCCCCTGGAAATCGCAACAGTGTCAGAAGGGAAGGGGGAAGAAAAATGGGTCCTCAAGCACCCTTGGGCATCACTTAACTCCACTGAACAGTTGACTAAGTATTGCCAGAAAAGCTCTCCCACCCAGGTCTCCTGAACACCGCTTGGATGCCTAAATAAAATTAACAGCATGAAAATAGCATTTGGGGACATGAATGTAGCTCAATGGAAAAATATATCAAATTTGTATGTGGATCTAAATCCAATCTCCCACACCCAGAAAAAGTGAAGATCTCTAAAGCATTTGACTGATAATCCAAGTTCCCAGATAGCAGAAGGTGAATTTATCCTTTGTACTTCATTTACCAGTAGCTTGGTAATTCTAGGATTTATTGTTGCCTCCCATCTTCAATTCCTCCAACCAACCGTTTTAAATGTATTGAATTCCTTGTTAACCAAATAATCCCTGAAATAGCCGAAAAATCCAAACAATTTATATTATAAAATGTAAAATATTAATAATCAGACCTTACTAAATGGGTGAAAATAAAATTTTTGCAGATTCAAATCTTTTCTGACATAAATTCACAGAACATCTCGCTCCTTTAAGAGGTGAGAAAAACAGAGAAGTCCACAAAAACTTACATAGTAATTTCAGAGCCCAGACTAGAACCCTTTAATATACATATCCTTAGAGTTTCATATTCAGCCTTAAATAGATTCAGCCAAAGAGAAGAACAACATGGAGGGCGGGATCCACAGATCCCGAAGGAAAAAAAAAAAAAACAAGCTCCAAAAAGAGCCGAGATCATTGGGAAGCCCCAGATGGGGTAGGTACCGCATCCCGCCTCCCCCAGATGGAACCCCGGTGACCAGAAGCCTCTACAACCACAGCTCGAGTATGCGGGAACTAGGACTTTTCCTCAAAACCTCTCTATATACAAAGTGATCCATGGGAAGTAAATGACCCAACGTTTCTCTCTGAAAATCATAGTTAAGTTTGGAGCACAGCCACAGCCCCAGAAACACGAGGACTTAATGCATAACCCAGCAGCTTGGAGCAGAAAAGTGAACGGGCTATGCGTTAATCCAGGCCATCATGACTGTCCGGAGGGGAAAGGGTGTTGCCCCATTCGCCCGCTCCTCTCTGGAAAGACGGCGGCCACATGGGAGCCTTGTGGACAGCAGGTATGAGCCGGGGGTGTGGGGGCGACTAAAACCTCATGGGAAAGGGGGCATTCCGGTCCATCCTTCACGCCCTAACGAGGTCACCAGTTGCCCCCCGCGAGCGGCTCTCCAGCACGGCCACGGCCCCAGAAGCACAAGGACTTAATACAGAACCCGACAGCTTGGAGCAGAAAAGTGAACGGACTATGCATTAATCCAGGCAATCAGGTCTGTCCGGAGAGGGAAGGGGTGTTGCCCCAGTTGCCTTCTCCTCTCTGGAAAGAAAGATGGCGGCCGCATGGGAGCCTTGTGGACAGCAGGTATGAGCCGGGGGTGTGGGGGCGACTAAAACCTCATGGGAAGGGGGGCGTTCCGGTCCGTCCTTCACGCCCTACCGAGGTCACCAGTTGCCCCCCATGAGCGGCTCTCCAGCACGGCCACAGCCCCAGAAGCACAAGGACTTAATGCAGAACCCAGCAGCTTGGAGCAGAAAAGTGAAAGGACTATGCGTTAATCCAGGCCATCATGTCTGCCCGGAGGGGGAAAGGGTGTTGGTCCCTTCTGCCCTCCTCCCTCTGGAAAGAAAGATGGCGGCCACATGGGAGCCTTGTGGACAGCAGGTATGAGCCGGGGGACTGGGGGCGACTAAAACCTCATGGGAAGGGGGGCGTTTCGGTCCACCCTTCACGCCCTACCGAGGCCACCAGTTGCCCCCCACGAGCGGCTCTCCAGCACGGCCACGACTCCAGAGCACAGAAACCAATTTCTTAACTATCTGACTTTCAGTAGAAATACTTCCAGGGTCAATAAGTAAAATAGCAGAAATCCAAAACCAACAAATAATTCTTGAACCCAGCTGTAGAAAGCAAATCACTTCACAATGCTTTGTCAGCATGTCTGATTCGGGGGGGGGGGGGGGGGGGGGGAGGGGGGTAAACTCTAAATAATAGTGGTGAATCTTTTATTGAAACAATGAATCTAATCAAAGCAGATAGAGTGTTAACTAGAATTCATCTGCCCCACAGGGACTGGGAGGGGTGGGGGGTGGGGTTTATTGGGGTTCTTCATGGTAAAAAATAAGTTTTGGTAAAGGGAAATGTGCTTGATATTTGCATGACTGAGACCTAAACCTGAAAGCTTTGTAACCTTTCCCATGGTGATTCAATAAATAAATAATTAAATTTAAAAAAATATATATATATTCCAGTATTTCCAGCTGCCAGCGCACAGGGCACATTGGTGGCAAGAAATGTGCACTGCCAAGTGGAGGGATGGGTGTTGGAACACTGAAAACCAATCATGTACAGCTTTGTACCTCCTCACGATATTTTAAAATTTTTTTTTCAATTTTAAGCACTATCAACACCTAATCCTCTCCAAGTGGTAACTTCCATTACTTAGACTCTATTGTGCCACAATATATTTTATACAAGTCATGACCTAAATGTCAAAAAGTCATGTAAAATTATTTCTTCAATGTTCTAAAATGTTTTAAGCAAAAAATGGTCAAGTATTTTTTAAAAGCACAACCATGTCACTTGCATCAGTATTTATTGACATACTGTTTTACATAAGAAATATATTCCTAACAAAAAATAAATTACACAAGTACTGATTTTGTACTGATACTCATAAATCTTTTACTGCCAAAGCTAGTAGCAAAAGTGTATTACAAATTGCCACCATTTGGCAAACATATTCTTTGTAAGTAATATCATGATTTACTATAAACTGCTTAACTTCTACTAATGTTTGGCAACTGTTTCACTGTTAATTTAAAATGCAGTCAGTTCAATCTACATAGTATCATTAAAATATTCATTAATGGGTGGTATTAGTATGAAAAATTATCTCTAACTTTGACAGACATCAGATATATCAAACAACTAATTTAACGATACAAACCGCCACACTGTTCAGTTTAGAAAAATACCCTACAATGAATAGAATTAATGTCAAAAATAAAAATGTAATTAGAGACTTTCAAGTTTTTAAAACAAGGACTAGTAACAGAAAAGGTAGGAAAAAATGCTGTAGCTACAACATTAAATTTACAATAAAGTCATCAGTCAAAAAAGCACTTGTCAAATGCCTCAAGTGTTTTCCTTCAGTAACAATTTTACTGAGATACACCTATAAGCTCACCATTTTTAAAAATATACAATTTTGAGGGTTTTATGATACTCTCCAGATTCCTCCAGCGCAGATTATCTTTTTTTATGGCTGAGTAAAATTCCACTGTGAATGTACACCATCGTTTCTTAAGTTGTTTCCAGATTTTAGCTATTGTGGATAGTGCTGTAAGGAACATTAGGGGTGCAAAAGTCTTTTCTCCATTTTGTTTTTTGCCTTTGGGGTATGTATATTCCAAGAAGTGAGACTGCTGAGTCAAATGGAAGGTCAATTTCTAGATTTTTTTAGGAATGTCCTCATTGTATTCCAGAAAGACCAAACCAGTAAAATGTTGTGTATAAAACCGTATCATCAACAGTACTGTAAATCACATTGCAAAAATGTACTTTAAAAAAAAAAAAGCTCATCTCCTAAAAGCAGAGAGGGATGCAAATATGGAGTGGGGGAGCATTGCTGAATGAACTGGTGTTAAAACACTCTATGCCTGAAACCTAATCATAAATAACTAATTTCACAGAGATTACATTTTTTACAAAAATATTTAATAGACGATTTTAGCATGTTTCAAGTGGTATACCAGTAATGACTAGGAAATACTAGAACATTCTCATCATTTCCAAAAGAAACCTTACAAGCATCAGGTAAATATTCCCCAGTCCCTAACAACTCAATTTCTATGAACTGGTCTATCCTGGGTATTTCATATAAATGGAATCATAGACGTAGCCACTTTTATCTGGTTTCTTTAAGAAAAAAGATTTTCAAGGTTTATCTACTTTATCACATTTTAGAATTTCTTCCTGTTTAATGGTCCAATTATATCCCACTGAGTGGATTTCTACATTTATCATTTAATATTTGGGCTATTTTAAGCGTTGGTATTTTTTGATGACTTGAATAGACAAAAAAAATAAATAAATAAAATGTTGCCAAAAGTATCTGCTACACTTGTTATGTTTATAAGCAAAATACAGGGGCAGATAGTACAGCAGGTAAGGTGCCTGCCTTGCATGTACCCCTAGTAGTCCCCCGAATACACCAGGAACGATTCCTGAATGAAGAGCCAGGATAAGTTAAGTCCTAGCACAGTGGGTAAGGCGTTTTTGCCTTGCAAGAGGCCAATATGGCCAACCCGAGTTCGATTCCTCTGCCCCTCTCGGAGAGCCCAGCAAGCTACCGAAAGTATCTCGCCCGCACGGCAAAGCCTGGCAAGTTACCCGTGACGTATTCAATATGCCAAACACAGTAACAACAAGTCTCACGATGGAGATGTTACTGGGCCCGCTCAAGCAAATCGATGAATAACAGAAAGACCGTGACCGTAAGCACAGCTACATGTGGCTCGAAAAAAAAAAAAAAAAATTTTTTTACTAAACAAATATTGCAAGCAATAAAAATGTGTATATGTCAAATCATTACTTTTCACACTAATTTATTCAATGTTTTAGTCAATTATATGTCAAGTTGAGGAAAATAAAAGACAACACATAAAAACAAACCACAATATTATAGATTGGTATGTTCTGTGCACACATCACTTGATCACTTGACATCCCGTTACTCATCGATTTGCTCAAGTGGGCACCAGTAACGTCTCCATTTGTCCCTGTCGCGTGCTAGTGTAGCCCAATGGCATCTGCTCATTCTAGGAACACGAAGAGCCTTAAACCTATCATTCAGGATCTTGATGAAGAAGTCTGACCACCTCGTAGGTGGGCGGTCACGTGGTCTTTTGATGTCCCGTGGAATCCAGTCGGTAACAGCTCTCGTTCAGCAGTTGTCTCCAAATCTCATTATGTGTCCAGCCCATCTGATTTTCGACGCCCTGGCAAACAAGACAGCTTCCCTGATTCTTGATCGTCGATGGAGGTCGGAACTCCAGATTCTTTCTCTCATTTGAGTGAGGCGTGATACTCCAAGCATAGCTCTTTCAATTCCTCTTTGGGAGACCCCAATAGCATTCTCATCCAGTTTTCATAGGGCCCAGGTCTGAGGCGTATGTTAATGCAGGAAGAACAGTGGAACTGAAGAGATGTGCCCGGAGCTGGAGGTTCCTCATCCTCTCAGCTATTCTTTTGACGCTCTTGAAGGCATTCCAAGCCACTCTCTTCCTCCTGCACAGCTCAGGTGTCAGGTCATTTGTCATGTTGACTTCTCAACCTAGGTACACATAACTGTTGCATTCGGAGATGTTTTTTCCGTTGAGAGCTAATGGAACGTCAGGAACGAAACTGTTTCTCATAAACATTGTCTTCGTAAGATTCAGCTGTAGTCCAACCTTTCCACACTCACGGTCGAAGTCGGCCAGCATTTGTGCCGCTTGGCTAATGTTTGTATTACTAGAATGATGTCATCAGCGAAGCGAAGATGGTGTAGTTGCCGACCATCTGTCTTCACTCCCATTCCTTCCCATTCTAGTCATCGCATGACGTTCTCAAGAGTGGCACTGAAAAGTTTCCATGAAATGGTAACGCCCTGCCGAACCCCTCTCTTGACATCAATGATCACTTCCCTGTAGAATGGTGAGACCCTGGTAGTGAATCCGTAATACAACTCACGGAGGATCCTGATGTATTGAGTTTGAACGCCCTGTTTGGCTAGGACTTCGATGACTGCTTCCATCTCAACAGAATCAAAGGCCTTCTTTAAATCAATGAACGTTAGACAGAGCGGCATCTTGAACTCCCGAGAAACCTCAATGATGACCATATCCACACGATATGCATACATCAATATATTTAAATTTTATTAATAATGCATGAGGGATTTAATTATGAACAGTCTCTGGGAATGCATCCCCAAAAGGATGTTCTATACAAATGGTCAAATTAAACATCTTCCCACAATAGTTGCTGTTCACGTGATCTGACTATAGTGGAAACACTAAAGCTGATTCAATTGATTTACCCTAGCACTACCAAGTTCTAGAATTTACTGCAATTTCAAATACTATAATTATAACCAGCCACTATATTCTAAAGCAGCATTCTTAAAGTATATTCCTCAATAAAATACTTAGGAAGCACCAAATTAGACAACACTAACAAATTTCTTTGCTGCAGAGTATCTCAAGATCCCAATACACTGGTACATTACTTGTAAGAGGACACAATGCAAATAATTTCCCCAAAGGAATATGCTTGTAAGTCTATTATCATCTAGTTCTACTCACCCACCCTTACCACCACCCTCATCCCAACAACCTCATCCTTAAAAAGAGCGACAAGAATCACACCACTTTAGACTGGCACTTCAGATAAAAGGTGATCCAGTCATTTTCTAACTTACAGTGGGCAAATCACACAGGTCTACTGAAGTGGTACAATTTTCCACGTTCTCAGAAGTCAAACCTTTTGTGGTCCAGTTTTGCTACCTTATATCAAGTGCTTAGTATTTCCATAAATAGCTCCACTAATATCAAGCTATTCTCAGTGAATAAAGATCTGCAAGTCTTTTCAACCCATTTTAGAAAAAGAAATTTAAATTAACAGTATTCTAACACCTTCAGACACAAGCCAAGAATTTTTTCAATCTATCACGCTATATTAACACTGAATTTCCTGCTTAGCCTTAGTTTGAAAAGGTGTAAACTTTAACACTAGAGACTGTAAACAGTAAGACTTGCTTGCTTTCTACCAAAATGAAAAGAACAAAATTTGGTATAAAACATTATTTCACCTCAAATAATTCAACTGATGCTGCTTTTCAGAGCAGTATTCTATTTAGCTTCACAGCATTTCTTATAGCTTTTCTTTAGTCGTACCCACTTTCAGAAAAGGAAATCAACATGTTATATCAAATAATATACAATACAGAGAAGAAACCATAAAACCCAAATAAGCTAATTTACAAACAATCACAAACTGAAGAATACATAAATCAGTGAAACAGAAACCACACAACAAATTTTCTTCGAAGATGGCTAAAAAATATTCATCTCTTACCTAGTGATATCATACACCATAAGTGCCCCCGCAGCGCCTCTGTAGTAGCTCCGTGTAACAGCCCTAAACCTCTCCTGTCCTGCTGTATCCCAAATCTGCAGTTTAATTTTTTGGCCACTAACTTCAATTATTCTTGTACCAAATTCGACACCAATTGTGTGAGGACAATCAGCCATAACTGTCAAAAAAGAAAAAATAATTTATTTCAACTTCCAGAAAGCTTCAAAAAGCCTGATGGGGGAAAATAATCCACTGGATAATTATCAAAGTTTTTAGTATTTGCATTCTATAACTGAAGTTCACACTTTTAATAAATACTTTAAGTTTTCCAAGCCAAAAACTCATCTGGCACAACTACATTAACTCTGTAACAAAGCAACCAGTTTATACATAAAATAGACACAGTTATGTTCCAACAAGATTTTATTACAGTTGACTTGATTTGGTCCTAAGGCTAGTATTTGTTTGCTGAATGTTTTAAAACATAAATAAAACATTTTAATAAACTTTGTGATACTAACATTAATTTAACCTCCTGACAACCATTAGATAAAAAAAAAAAATCAATGGATTTAAGATAGGAATTGTTAGTCAAATTTTATACTGAAAAATATTACCAGTATCTTAGAATCATTTGATTTAACATGTACTTATTACATACTGGCAAATAATATATGCCTAATACAACAAGACAAGTTTCCTTATAATAAGCCTCCTTTTCTAAACACAGTAAGTACACAAAAATGGCTAGGTATTTCTTAAAACCTCACAGTAAGCAAACAAAAGTCACAAAATAATTTCAGCTATATTTAGTCTATCAGTTACAAATAAACTGGCCGTCCTGTACCACCCAAGATAGAACAGTTATACTTGGAATCTTAATCAGCTGGTCTTTAGAAAAAAATTTCATTTTAAAGTATTTCCAATTTACTACAATTTAAATGATGAAGGAAATTTCCCCACATAAAATAATTTCTATAACGAAAAGTTTGGAGGATAGCAAAAAGATTGTATCTGAAATTACAACATACTTTTTGTTTCGAAGCCACAACCATCATATGGGGTGGGCTATTTCTGGTTCAAGGCTGGGAGTTGGTTCCTGGTAGCACTCAAGGGAGTGCAGTGCCAAGGATTAAACACAGTTTCCTACATGCAACTTACTATCTCCCCCCACTGAACAATCTCCCTGGCCCACTGTGTGCACTGCTTAAAATCGTATTTTTATCACCACAAAAATCTTAAATCAAATTATACATGATATGTAAAACTCAACTATGCATAATATTTACTTTTATCTGCATTTGATTTTTTTTAAATATCTCAAGACAAAAGTACATTTATTTATAACTGTTACAGTTGAGCTAAATAAACAAAAAGACTTTTTAAAAATAGAAAAATGACAATAATGTACTAATGTGTTACCTTACATACTGAACTTACATTTTTTTTCTGTAAATTGATGAAGCAAGCAAGATTTTCCTACTCCCATGTCCCCTGTTTAAGAAAAGAACATTTCAAGTGGCAGTTACATTCAATTCTGTAATACTATTATTAATACGCAATGACTGCTACATCCCTTTACTATATCCCATCACAAAGTTCTGAATACTTTTTTTTAAAAATTGTAATCCTCTAACATATAATGAAATAAAAAGATCCTATTGGTCAATATTCAACACTATATGCAAACTGACAACCCTTAGTTGGTTAATTGTGTTAATGACACGGACTGGGAAGTGCTCTTTATTAATAAGGGAACCACTGTTGAAATGGTATTTTTAACTTTGAGCTATTTCAAAGTATTTTTTTCTTCTTACCTCGTGAATAAAACAAAATTCCGAAGAGTGACAAATATGATAGACCGCAACAAGCAAAAATAATGTTTTACAGGGCTTATTCATGAGGTCCCATGTTATCTCTTATTTCCTTATTAAATTCCAAAAGGAAAAAATATAAACTAGAAACAAAACAGGCATCACCTTTAACTGCAACACAGTAATCTGAGCACTCAGTAAATATGCATTATAACGTAATCATTATGGTTTAACATTAAATCAACTGTTCTAATGTGAATTACTGCAAAGAATATGTCCTTTCAACTGTATGACAATAATATAACTATGTAACTATATAAACAACTATAACAATACTTAAGTAAACTGCAATGCAGTTAAGCAAATTTAAGGGGGAATCATCAACACTACTTTATGTATACTACACAGTAACTATGAGTCAATATTCTCAATTTTTGCATTCTGGAAAACCTAGAAAGCTTTCAAATTTCAGGAAATTATGTGTACTCTTAGAAAATTAATCCCTTTTGGGGCTGGAGCGATAGCACACAGGTAGGGTGTTTGCCATGCATGTGGCCGACCCGGGTTCGATTCCCAGCATCCCATACGATCCCCTGAGCACCGCCAGGAATAACTCCTGAGGGCTGAGCCAGGAGTAACCCCTGTGCATGGCCAGGTGTGACCCAAAAAGCAAAAAAAAAAAAAGAAAAGAAAATTAATCCCTTTTGCTTAATTAACAATCTTTCAGTAGCCTTCACATCCCATTATAAAGTATCCAGTGTATAGAAGCATTCAAAGCTCCAATACAAAAGTCACATGGTTAATGGTTAATACAAAAAATAAACCTTATCAAAGGAGCTTTAATCTGCAGTGATAAAAATCATTCATTTCTTCTGGAGCAGTATGCTATTTATATACTAATACTATGCATATTAACCTCCTCTTAAGAACAAGAACATAAGTTAAACTTACCGATAATAATGTATTTAAAGATGTAAGAGTAGTTGTATGGTGCAGTTGCCATGGTGGCACTAGAAACAAAGAAAACTGTCAGTTCCAAAGGACAGTACACAGCAAGTAATCCAAGATAATCATTGCTATTCTTTGAAAATACGTTAAAGCACAATAAATATAACACCATGTTAAAAGCAAAACTGCATTTCCCAAACTGATCAATGGCACAAATTCTCTTATGAATGTTCTTATATATAATTCAGAAAATACAATAAGCCATTGTACCAAAATTGCACTGTCCTCCCGTTGTTCATCGATTTGCTCGAGCGGGCCCAGTAACGTCTCCATCATGAGACTTGTTGTTACTGCGTTTGGCATATCGAAAACGTCACAGGTAGCTTGTCAGGCTTTGCTGTGTGGGCGATACTCTCAGTAGCTTGCTGGGCTCTCCAAGAGGGGCAGAGGAATTGAACCCGGCTCGGCAGGGCCGGCTGTGCGCAAGGCAAACGCCCTACCACTGTGCTATTGCTCCAGCCCCATTACCAAAATATTTCCAATATAATTTCACACAAGGAAAATTAAAAATTTCAAACAAGGGAATCTTTATAAACTCAAGTTAAACTTTACTCTAAAGAGTTCTTCTCCCACGATGATGATCTCATCTCTTATTATCTAATCAGGTGAATTGCAAATAGTGTACTTGGTCAGCAGAACTTGTTGGATTTTACAACATATATTACAAAAAGTAAACTTAAAATACAAAATAGTTTGTTTACCTGACTTAAAACAAAAAATGAGCATCGTACCCGAGGAGCAATCATACTACGTATTATTTCCAAGCCAAATTAATGTCAGAATTAGAATGAATGTGAAACTGCTTTTCTTAAAGACTTTACAGACTACAAAGATGGCCCCAAGGGCTGGAGTGCAAATCAGCATTGTGTATGCCAAGTTCAATCCCCAACACTGAGTACCAATAAAAGCAAGCCCCAGCACTACACCAAGAGTAGCACCAAGCCCTTAAGCAACGCCAGATGTAGCCCCAAAACGAAACAAAAACAAAAGCAAAGTCAACGATTGGCAATTTCATGTTCCAACCTAATACACAACTTAAAGATCAATAATACATAACATAAAATGCCTGAGAAAGATTTTCTAGGAATAGAGAAAAATAATAGCATAAAAAATTACTTGCGCGGTTGGAGAGATAGTGGGGCATTTGCCTTCTATGTGGCCAACCAGGGTTCAATCCCCAGCACCCAATATGGTACCCCAAGCACCACCAGGAGTAATTCTTTGGAGAGCTAGGAATAACCACTGACCATTGCCAGGTGTGCCCCCACTCCCCTCCTCCCAAAAAATATGAAGTCACAAAATTTAAGTTTATGTATCAGAAAATATTTAGGAAGATTACAACCCATTTTGAACCCAAAAATACTTAGCCATATGCGTTCTAACTCTTTTTCTCCTTTTTTTTGTTTGTGTTTTTCAGTTTGGTTTTTGGGTAACACCCAGCAGTACTCATGGCTTATTCCTTGCTCTGCATGCACTCAGGGATCATTCCTGGCAGAGGACCATCAAGGCACACATCCTACCTGCTACACACCCAGCAATGCACCTTTCCAGAAGAGCTCCAAGGATATTCAGTGCTTAGGACTGATCAGCAAAGCACACCAGCCCTGTGAGCTATCTTTCCTACTTTTAATTTTTTTTAAACTCCAATTTATTCAGTTTAATGCCTTGAACATGTCAGACATGGTGCTATATGCTACAGAAATAAAATGCAATAGTGATAATAACCTCCCATAAAATCTACCTTCAAACCAGTTTTCAGCTTAAGGGGGGGTATGTGTGTATGAAGTTGTATTTTCGTATAACTTCTAAAAATTCTATTAGAAGCTATTTCTAAAATTTATTTCTAAAACCCAGTAAATTTTAGATGCTTAATTTTTATTATTTTATATGGCTTTTACTCTGTTAGTCCGGTCAGCTGTCACATTACACAAGTCATACATTTAACATGACTGGAGAAATTCACTTACAGACATTAATTCGATACTACACAGCATATTTCAAATAACTAATAAAATTTAATCTGCAGGGGGAAAAATATAAATCTGAAGTAAGTGATTATCAACAGGCAAGTAGTTAATTATGTTAAATTACTAGACAATCACTTCATATAACATAGTCTTCAAACTGAACTATATAAAGTACATTCGACAAAAGCAGACGCATTCTAGCTTGACATATTTTAAAATATTTAGAATCAGTCTCTGACATCGCTTTTCTTTCAAGAAAGTGAGGGTTTTTTCCTAGTTAAATTAACTCTGATTCTGAACAACAAATTACTTGAATCCTTTTTCTAAATACTGGGGACTCAAAAGTTTTAAGAACTTAATAATGAGGCAGGCTTATTCACCAGTTTATTTATATTCGTTCAATCATATCTCAAATACGAAAAAATCTCCCAACAAAAGTGACACTTACAGGTTATTAACTTAACATGCATTCCTCTTATACTTGTGCTGGAATTAATTTGCGGGGAAGGGGGCCTCTCCCAAGCAGTGGTTCAGAAGGCCCATTTGATTGGAAGGGCTGCAAGAAGAACCAGGCCTGCAGTTCATCGTGAGGCCGGCCCCAGGATGAGGTGCTGCTCAGGCCCAGAGGTACAAGCCACCTTGGTTATGCTCCACAGCTATGTGGTACTGGGGAGCAAATGGGTCAGGCATATGTCTTGCATTCACCCAGAGCCCTGTATGTCTCCCAGACCCTCAATAACACTCTTTACCACCCACCACCCACTGAAACTTAAGAAAAAGCAGTCCTCCTGTCATCTTAAAATTACTATTTCTCGGGGTTGGAGCAATACAGCACAGCGGGTATATTGCCTTGCACGCCACCGACACAGGTTCCATTCCCAGCATCCCATATGGTCCCCTGAGGACTACCAGGAGTAACCCCTGTGCATCGCCAGGTGTGACCCAAAAAGCAAAAAAAGAGAAAAAATAAAATTACTATTTCTCTGGCTGGAGAGTCAGGAAATCGGGTAGGGTGTTTACCTTGCACATGACCAACCCAGGTTCAATCCCCAGCATCCCATATGGCCCCCTGAGCACTGCCAGGACTAACCCCTGAGCACCACCAGATATAGACCAACTCCAACCCCCACCCCAAAATTACTATTTCTCTCATGCTCATCCTCTTCTGATTCTATTTCTTTTCCCTCTCTTTAGTGAAAGTTGTAACTATTCATTTTCCTCTCCTTCCATTTTAATGTTAAAACCACAGCCTCTAAAATCTCAACTTCACCTCAAAATATCTTTACTAACCATGAAAGTATAATCTAATTCTGGTTGTACTAACTTTGCTAAGTATCACACGGTATATGTTAATTACATATTGTAATAACCGATTTTCAAAATAATTGTAATATCCAATCATTAATCAATAGACTATTTCCAAATACACAGGTCTATTCCATTATGAATACAAGTATCCTGTTTTCCACTTTACTGCACAATCTAATTTTGTAATTAAAGATTCCCAATAAACCCTCTGAAAGTAAAGTCAAGCTTCTGTTTCAATAAGGAAAGAACTGCATTAGTTCACTGATATATTCATTCAAAATATATTTACAGTGAAACTATATTCAAATAGCCCTTTTAAAATACTATGACAGAGTTTGAGAGATAGTACAGCAGGCTGAGCACTTGCCTCGCACATGGCTGACCCGGGCTCAATCCCCAGCACCAGATTTGGTTCCAATGCCCTGCCAGGAGTGATCCCTGATCTCAAAGCCAGGAATACTCCCTAAGAGATGCTGGGCGTGGCCCCAAAACAAACAAAAAACAATAAAATGCTAATACTGATTTACCAGAGGATTCTTCTTGCTACTGTTTAGATCATTTACTTTTACCAGGCTTTTACAAAGGGAAAACCCCACATTTCCCTTATCATTAAGGTTGTTAACATTTTACTTTGGGAACTCAAAAAATACCAAGGACGGGAAAGAGGCACACAAAATGCAGCTTAATGTCAGAGTTCATGCCTCACCTGTTCGAGGTCCCATGATTGCAGAAAAATAAAAAATAAAAAATAAAAATTTAATTACTCCTTCAAGTACTCTAAAAAAAACATGAGTCCACTCAATATTACAATCTCCACTATCTTTTAAAACACTGTTAGCACTCACTGTAGCACTGTCCTCCCGTTGTTCATCGATTTGCTAGAGCAGGCACCAGTAACATCTCCATTGTGAGACTTGTTGTTACTGTGTTTGGCATATCGAATACATCACTGGTAGCTTGCCAGGCTTTGCCATGTGGGCGAGATACTCTCGGTAGCTTGCTGGACTCTCCGAGAGGGGCAGAGGAATTAAACCCGGGTCTGCCGCACGCAAGGCAAATGCCCTACCTACTGTGCTATCGCTCCAGCCCCCCCCAAAAAACACTGGTAATATCCTGTAATTGGGCACAATTATTGGTATGATCAAAATGCACCTTATCTTACATCTGAATAAAGTTCACATGTAGATAGTCCACTCAATATTACAATCTCCACTAATTTTTAAAACACTGGTAATATCCTATAATTATGCACAATTACTGGTATGATCAAAATGCACTTTCTTATGATACATCTGAATAAAGTTCATTTGTAGATAGGCTGTCCTATCTACATGTGAAATTTAATGACTGATTCCTTAAGGGAAAAAAGTACCACATTCAGATAACTGTAGCACTGTCCTCCCACTGTTCATGGATTTGCTCGAGCGGGCACCAGTAACGTCTCCATTGCGAGACTTGTTCTTACAGTTTTTGGCATCGAATTCTCCAAAGGGAGCTTGACAGGCTCTGCCCATGCGAGCGGAATGCTCTCGATAGCTTGCAGGGCTTTCCAAGAGGGACGGAGGAATCGAACCCAGGTCGGCCATATGGAAGGAAAACGCCCTACCCATTGTGCTTTTGCTCCAGCCCCAGACAACAGATACCATTAATTTTGCAAACTAATAACACAGTTGCTATTCACTGCAGTGTGTGTACCAGGTAAAAAGCTAAAATTCTTTATATGCAATCACACAGATGAACACAGTATCTTATATGCGATCTCATTTATAGATGAAGAAACACTCTGATCACACAAATAGCAAAGTGGTCAAGTCTATACCAAATCCAGGACTGTTTTAATGGCAGGGAACCACTCCCACGACTGTTTTTAACTGCAGAGGACCACCCTCCCAGTCTCCTTAACCACTAAACCATCCAGTCCTTTCTCAATTGGGAAGTACCAAGAAACCCTAAAGTGGGCCTTCTAGACAGAAAACACTTCTCACTTGTTTCTAACTAAATATTCTGAAAAATCAGTAAATAATTATTCAGATGATACACTGTTACCAAGATTTATAGATATGCCAGCAATAATACATAGAGGTTTCCAAGGAAAACTAGTATTTACTGAAAGTTAAATTCTTAAGTCTCACAATTCTGCAGAGTCATCATCAGTATATCATGTAAATATTTAAGAAACTGAGGTCTGGAAAAGTTCACTCATTTGGCCAATTAGTAAATGGCAGAGCTAAAACTTGAACCCAGGCCTGATTTCAAAGAACATGATTTCCTCTATCTAAGGGTAGCATACTGGAGGCATAGAGTCTGATAAAACAAAAATTATCAGAAAAAGGCAAACAATTAAATGGAAATTTTAGGGAGAGGCAAAATATGGCTCAGTCTTACATGCATGAGATTTGCATGCACAAAAAAAATTGAATTTAGTGTAAGTTTTCCTATCAGTGCCTATAAAATTTAGCTCTAGACATTCTGCCAAATGTTTATTAAATGCACACTAAACACCAATAATTGCGATATGGTCCCCTTTAAAAGTTAATATGTTTACTATTACTCTGAAAGTTTTCTCAACCTATCTCTTCAACCAGAAACGTACCACTGTTAACGTAATAAACGCATTTTGAAATTAAAAGATGTTACTGAATGAAACTGGTATTTATGTTTTTCTTCACTTAAATTCACGGATGTATTTCCAGATCAATATATGTATTAAAATTATTAATACGCATGTTAAACACTAATCACTGTGATAGGAAAAATAAAACTGAACATTCTTCATATACTGGATCACACCTTCCCAAATAAAATTATACAGGTACATATGACTAGTTTTGAAATGTTGAAATCACTTGGAAAATTTAGTAGGCATTTCAATACTAAGAGGGAGTCTCCACTGCCTTATTTGAAGGAAATAGTGAATATATTTTAAAACTTTTTTAAAGTCTGAACCAACTTTTGATCAAGAAATCTTTTAAAAAAAAAAAAAACTTCTTAGCTAAAAAGCTGGGGATGTAGCTCAAGGGGTAAAAAAGGGCACATGCATGTACTGACCCTAGGTTCAATCTTAAGATACCTTATGATACCCTACGACTTGTCCCTCACAACCAGAAACTGCTGGATATGGTTCTGGTGACCCACAAACAACAGTGGGAATGGTTCCCCAGCACTGCCAGATATGACCCTAAGAACTATGATTTTTTTCTCAAAGAAATCTACCCAGGTGTATCATATAAATGCCAAACTCTACTTCAAGTGTATTTAATGCTGTCTTGTTTGTGGGGTGGGGGGTGAGGTGACAGGACATACACACTGGTGCTCAGAGACTACTCAGCTCCATGTGTTGAGGGTGGGGGGGACACACAGTGCCAAGGGCTGTACTTAAAGCCTGTGAAACATTAATCCACTGTTTTTGCTGAAAAACTAGCTACACTGCCATTAAAATAACTGACTGAATAAAATACACCTATACTATGAAATGATATGTATCCAGTTTTAAAGAACATCTAAATCTGTACTTTCAACCGGAAAATAGTACCTATGACTTTAAGTGTTTGTGTTTGGGGGGAGGGGGAAGAGTTCCAAATTTTAAATACATCCATGCACACAATCCTAACTAGCATATAGTAAGGAAAACACTGAAAAGTGAATTTTTAAAAATTCTTTAAAAATCAATTTAAAAAATAACAAATGAATACCTGAGCAAAGAATTGAAATGAAGGAAAATTAATTCTATGCATCCCTGCACTGACCATAAGCATATACTATATTCACTTCATATTCTGAATTTTTTTCTAAACGGGCTAGAGCCATAGTATAGCAGGTGGAGGGGTGCTTGCCTTGCAAGCAGCCAACCAGGGTTCACTGCCTTGCACCCCATGTGATCCCCAAGCCCAGCCAGGACTGATCCCTGAGTGCAGAACCAGGAATATAGCTCTGGGTTCGACCCAAAAATCAAAACAAACAGATAAAACATTCAAAAAAATAAAGGGCTTTAATTTATTTTTAAAGCATTTTTGTAATTCTGATACAAAAAATAACTCCCATTCATATTTCTAACATTACTTCCACAACTGCCAAAATATAGAAATCATATGACTAGTCTCAAAACACAAAGACTACCCAAAATAAGGGCATTTTTCTTTTTTTATATAGTTTCCTTCCTGTTTTACTTATAAACTGACTAAACCTTTCACAGTTGTGTTACTGTTAGTTTGGCTTCTTAAAACACAGGCTACTGTAACTTTTATATAACCAATTCAGACAATACAGAAAAAGACGACCTACTAAATTTTCCAAGAATTTAAATCAAAATTCTGATCCTCACTGTTGAAATTATTAATTTTGTTACATTTAAGACAATGAGTATCTGAAAATGAGTCAAGATAGACTGCTTTTGTAATTTCAATATAAAAAATCTTAACTGAGAATTTTATGAAGCACAGGCATTGTATTTGGCTTTGATCAGAAAGAGTCAAAAGATACAAAAGAACCAACAATGTCTCTTGCCTTTATGGAACTCAAGAACAGAAGTACTTATAATGTGTTTGCAAGCCCACTATGAAAGAGCAATGCAACTTTTCTGTCAGTTGAGTAGGCAAAAAAAAGTTCAGCTAATCTAATCTAATCAAAATGAGAGGTCAATTTCCTTTCCTCAACAGTAGAAAAGCCTCTGAAAATAATACATCCATTTCTGAGGACCACTTAATAAAATCTGGCTTTTGACAAGATAATGTTACTATATGTAAATAATATAAATTTTTCAATGAATCCCGTAATGTGTCAAAAGAAGAAAAAAAATTTCAGCCAATTATGATAGTATGGTTATGATTAAGAAATGAAGTACCCAATACTGTGCCTCTGTTCATAGAAGGAAAGTTTAGTTCTCTGGACAAAAAACACAAAAACCTCCATACTTACTAGTTGAATTAAAAGAGTTAGGAATTATGAAGATTAAATCTGATAGAATAATATGCCTGAGATTTACTTCGAAATAATTAGTTGGGAAGGGTACAGGTGTCACTGCTGACTAGTTGATGGGCTTAAGAAGGCTCAGTATACTACTTCACGTATGTTTAAATGTCCAACGAGCTTTTATATAGTATCCTCTATTTGTGCATCATCTCCAACCATGCCTGGAATTTTTAACCACAGAGAAATATTTCAGGCTTTCTTAAAAAGTGAAGCATCTCACAACAGCCCTCAATTTAATATATTTGCTTAACCAAAACTTATGCAAACATTCAATACTGATTAAAAAAAAATCAATTTGTAGAAACTCCAAATTGTTACCCAACTGAAGTCTGAAATAACGATCAAGCTCAACATCAAATACAAAAAGCAGAAAACTTTTTTTTTTAAATGTGGCTTAACTCCCAAGGAAATTGTTTAAAACGATCGGACTCTTTCGACTTCTAACTTTTTCGATTAACTGCTATTTACTATTTATTCCAAAAGCAACCTCCAGCCCTTAAACCCTCGCTCTCCAGCTAAGGAAACCGGTTTGGGTCAGGCTGCCAGAATTCCCTGGTCCTCCAGGCCCGGGTCTGACCCCCAGGCTCTGCCGGGCAACGCGCCTCGGGTGTCTGCAACAAACCCCACACCCACCCCATGCCCAGTCCCGGGGCAGACCCGGGAGGGGGTGGAGTGGGGTAGGGTGGGGTGGGGGAGGGGCGCGGAGAGTTTCTGAGTCCCGTTCCAGCCCCAGGTACAACTCTCCCCTGCAGGGGACTGACCGGTCGAGGTCACCGAGACGGGCCCCAGCGCAGGGTCACTCGCCCCTCCGGGCAGCCCGGCAAGCCTCGGGGTCCCAAGCAGAACCCGGAGGGCGGGGTGGGCAGGGAAGGAACCGAGGGTAGCATGTCAGGGGAAGTGGGAACTGGATGGTGACAACGTCAAGCGCGCCCTCAATCACTGCAATCAAGTGTAAGGCAGCTGGGGGGTGGGGGCCGGCGCGAGAGGCCAGTCGCCCCTGGAGCCAAATCCCACTTGCTGCTGGACCGTGCGCCGGGACCCCCCACCCCCACCCCAGGCCAGCACCTGCCCTCTCGGGACCCCCGTTTTGCTTCCTGCAAGGTTTGCAAAAATAAAAAATAATAACAACAACAACAAGAACGACAACCTCCGCCTCTCCTCCGCAAGGGAGGCGAGCTGCCGGCCGTCGGCTGTGTCCCCGACCCCGACTCCGCGCAAGTCCAGGGGGGTGTGCGGTGGGCCGCTGCGAGCGCGACCCTCCGGGCCCGAGCCACCCGGCCCCTCCCACCCCCACCGCCGCCAACGCCGGGCCTCGGTTTCCCCCGCCGTGCAGGACGGCGAGAACGCTCCGAGAGCCGCGGGAAGCGGGTGGGGGAGGCAGGAGCCCGGCGCGCCCCCAACCACCGGCCCCGGGCCCGAAACTCGCCGCTTCCCCCTCCGGGAAGGCCCCAAACTTTTCCGCCCGCCCCGGCGGCGGGGGGAGGGGGCCGGGGGCGTCTCTCCGTCCCCCACCCACCCCCCCGGCGACAAGGACACCGCGGCCCCCGCCGCCGCCGCCGCCGCCTTTCGGTCCCCTCCGGGGCCCGCCGCGGCGGCCTGCGGCCCGGGGGGCGCCGAGCCGGGGCGGGGGTGGGGGGCGGCGACGGGGGCCGCGGGGGGCGCCGGGGGCGCGAGTCGGCCCGCGGCGGGGTCCTGTCAGGCCTGGCGGCGGCCCCCCGCGCCGCCCCGCGTACCTGGGGGGTTGCTGGTGGCTGGGCAGCTTTCCGGGCGGGAGGGAGACGTCAGGGCGAGGAAGAGCGGGCCGGGCGCCGCGGGACTCGGGGCGGGGGGCTCGGCCGAGGCCCCGGCGCGCAGCTGGGCGGGCCGACGGGGTTGCAGACGCGCGGGCGGCGGGCGGCGGGCGGCGGGCGGCGGGCGGCGGCGGCGGCGGCGGCAGCGCCTGCAGCTCCCTCAGGCTCTTCCTCGGGCAGGTCCAAGATGGCGGCGCTCCCTGCACAGGGTTTCCTGTCACCCTCGCAATGGGCCGAACCACAAAAGAAGGGGGGAGGAGGGTGCGCGCGCAGCCGGCGGAGCCCGGAAGACGGCGGCCGCGGCCTCCCGGGCCGGGCTGGCCACGCCTCTTCCGCAGTCCCGCGCTCCGGATTGGGCGCGCCGCCGCCGGGCCCCGCCCCCTCCGCTCCGCGCGTCGGCAGGGGCGGAGGGAACTAGTTGGGCGCAAGCGCAGTCGCCTGGTCTCGCCTCCCGGGAGTTGACTGCGCAGGTCTGGGCAGAGCTCGCGAAGGGTTGGTCTGAGTCTTGGAGGACTCGGAAAGTGGCTCTGGGGATTTTTTTTCTTATTTTTTTTTGATGTCAGCAGTTACCGCTTATTGGAGGATTGCCGTACAACGCCCACCTATGCTAGCACACATTAAGGGCATTCACTCAACGTTTACTTATTGAGCTCTTTGCACGTAAGAATAAGGCACTCAGGTCCAACTCTCCAGGTCCAGGTCCAGCTATCCATGAACCCTTTTATTTGGTTGGCAGAACTGAGCCCCAGCTGCATGTCTGAGATCTTGCAGCCAGGAAGTGGCATTTTATATATACCCTATGTTTTCATTTGTCCCTTTTAGCCCTCTTTGGGGGAGGTGCCTTTGGCAGGAAGATAAACTTATGACAATAGTTACTGATGTGCGAATTAAAATTCATCGGGTGGACCTCACATGGTCCACCTCGGTCTGTTTTCATCGTCCCAGAAAGGTTTGCCCATCGATTCGAGGACCAAATAATGGCTTTGGGCTCTGGGCACTTTTGTCTTGTGCTTGTGGGTATATATAAATACAATTCGTACTCACATTGGTACAAAGATAACTCTATTAAGTTACAAAACTTTCTTCCTAAACCTGAAAACTTATTTTCAGGGAGGTGGCGCAAGGGAGTTGTGCCCCAGCATAGCAAGAGGGGCCCAAAGTCACACCCGCCCAACCACCAAAAAAAGAAAAAGAAAATCAAAAAGAACTTGGGGTGCTTTTGTGGAGCCCTGAAAGCATTTGGTGTACTAGGTTCTGTGTCTGTTAGGAGATAGCATCCCACACCCCGCCACACGCCCAAATGAAGAGGGAGCTTCCACATCACTTTCAAGACGTTTTATTCGGGGGTTATGCCATGGGAGACTGAGGTTTCATTGGAGACGTGTATGGCAATTTGAAAACCTCTTATTTTCTGAAAGACCTGTGAATCCAGAAAGGCTGTGACTCCCTGCCCTGTAATTAATGCTACACCCTTGGGTATATCATTTGATTGCTCAGATATTTATGCAAAATAAGTAGAATAATATCGATCACATGAGTTCTTTTGAAAAATAAATGAGATGATATATGCCAAATATTTGGCATACAAAAATTTTATGGCAAACACAGAAATGGTTATTACATAACAGACATGGTAGTGTTGAAATCTAGCCCTAAAGCTCTACCCACACTTCTTTTCCTGTATTCTCTAAGTCTGATAAATATAATTGATTCATAGTCACAACTTTTAACATCTCTAAAATCAAGAGATATGCCTGTGCCAAATAGAGGGGGAAACTTGGAATCAATTCCCATTAAGTGACCACCTATTAACTTAGATTTGGCTAAGTGAATTACACATATTTTCCCAGTGAATTCCTACAATATCTTCACAAAATCCTCACGATGTTCACATCACTTTATGAATGAGAAAACAGTACACAGATCAAAAGTTATGTAGATGAAAACTAGCTGTGCTGGGAGTCCAAGGCAAACCCACATAACTTCCCACTCTTGATACTATTCTGCACTTTCAACTTCTCTTATTTGCACCTGAAGCAGCTGAAATGTTGAGTCCTAGTTAAGTCTGTGCCAAAGCCATTACACCTTGATGCGACATGGAAAAGACACATTTCTGTGAATACAGAGAGCCTGTCTGCTGAGCAGTGCAAAATGTAGACAGTAGAGAAGTCAGTTCTCTGGGATTTTATCGATAGCACAGTGGTAGGGCAACTGCCTTGCACACAGTGTTCAATCCCTGGCATCTCATAAGCTTCCCCGAGAACTGCCAGGAGTAATTTCTGAGTGCAGAGCCAGGAGTAATCCCTGAGCACTGCCAGGTATAACCATAAAAACAAAAAGTAAATAAAGTGAAGTTAAAAGGAAAAGTTGGTTCTTGTAAAAAGTTAGTTTCTCAAAGATCAAGGAATGTAATGTAATTAAGGGAAATGTAACTAAGAACTGTCCTTTGGATGTCAAACACCCTAAGGATTTAACTTTTTTTCCTTTTTTTTTTTTTTTTTTTGCTTCAGGCTACACCTGGCAGTGCTCAGCTCTGTGTTTAGGGATCATTCCTGATGCTCAGGGACTATACGTGATACCAGGAGATCAAATCCAAGTTGGCTTCATGCAAAGCAATAACCTAACCTGTTATACTGTTTCTCTGGCCCAGCTAATTAACATGTAAAGAAAAAAAAAACTCGTTATATAAAAAAGGAAAAAAAGGTTTCATTTTGAACCCTCTCCCCAGAGGGTGAATAAATAGCCTCCTTTTTTAGGTTCTGAACAAGCTGAGAAATAAATCAAAAGGAATCAGGGACAGATTCCATGATCAATCTTATTATTGGCAGAAGCCAGGTTGGAGAAGACGCTTTCAGACAAATAGCTAATAGTGAATCGCAGACCAGGACTGGCCCTTTGCTGAAGGGAACTGGAGCTCCAGAGATGCTCCCTTCTTGGATAATGCCACATTGAGCGTTGGCCATATATTCTAAAATATACCAAATGAACCTATCCCTAATCTAACCAAAATATATGAATTGAGCCAGATACCAGGAATACCAGGAACTGGAGCAATAGCATAGCGGGTAGGGTGTTTGCCTTGCATGCCCGGCCAACCAGGGTTTGATTCCTCTGTCCCTCTTGGAGAGCCCGGCAAGCTACCAAGAGTAGCTCCCCATGGAGTATTCAATATGTCAAAAACAGTAACAAGGCTCACAATGGAGATGGTACCGGTGCCCGCTCGAGAAAATCGATGAACAATGGGAGGACAGTACTACAGTGCTACCAGGAATATGCTCAGAACAGAAAAAAAAAAATCAAACACCTAACACCTGCCCATTGAAACCAGGACTAGAGCAAAAGAACTCCCCTCTTGCACCCCTGGCAAGTGAAGTGTCAGACTGAGAAATAGCAGAGGAAGCGACCATAATAAAGCCTGCATTTACAAGAAGGACCTGAATTGACAAGTCAGAAATTACCCCACGCGTTAAATGGATTTGGAGCCCAACCTTGCTTCTTACTAGCTCTGCAGCTTTAGATTAAGTTTTTGAGGCCTCTAATTCTTCATTTCCTTGCCTCTAAAACCAGGAGAGAGTAGTAGCTAATTCCTAGGGTAATTGCGGAGAGAAAATGAGGTAACGCTCAGAAATGCAGCTAGCAGTGTGCTGGCGGTAAGTAAGCCCGCTGGAAACAGGCGCTCCAATCAACAGCTCCAGAAGCACTTTGTCCATATAAACTGGAAAAGCAGAACAGCTTTATCTGTAATCATGGAATGCAAGAGAGATTCGAAGGATTTCTGTAGGGTAATAAAACTAATTGGAGAAAAGGTGGGGGGAAGGAGGAGAGGCAAGGAATAGGGAACAGGTGTCTGCAGGTTTGGAAGGTTTGAAAGAAAAACTGGAAGAAGGTTCCCTGGCAAAATAATGGACCAGACGTTTCCTGTGTGTATGCACACACACACACACACACACACACACACACACACACACACACACACACACACCAGTACATACCAAGCGTCTGAAATCAGACATCAGTACTCCCTGTTCCCAGGAGAAGATATTACTTTTATGTATCTATATTAGCTACAGAAGCTATATTTTGCGATGAGACAAACGAGCCCCAAAGCTTAATGACTTATTCCAGGATAGGACCAGATTGATCAGACTGATGTCCTCTCTCTCACTCTCTCTCTCTCTTTCTCCCCCACTCCTTCTCTCTCTCTTCCCAACTCCTTCTCTCTCTGTGCCAATTCCCAATTCCAGATTGTAGTGCAGAAGAAAAACTGATATAGGAAACAGCAGGCTGCTGGATTCTCAAGCTTATCTTCCAAAGGAACATCACTTCCCCTCACACTGCAATGGCCAACGTCAGTCTCATGAACTCCAGTGGCCAGAGCGGGGCAGGACATTTTCCATGGTGAAGGAGCACAATAATCCAACCCACCACCAGACCTCCCACATGCCAAAGACGGGAGAGAGCCGTTGAGAGCCAGGGCTGACTGCCCTAAGTGTTCTCTGCTCTGTGAAATGGATGAGCCGTACTTGTCTGGTGAGACTCCCAGAGAAAGTGGAGACTTGAACTTGGAATGTGAATTGTAAGGTAGACAGAGTCACAGGAGGGGACCATCAGGAGAGAAGGATAAAGCCATCCCTACCCAGCCCTCAGTAGTTGAACTTTTCCGAACGCAGCCCAAGGCCACATTCAGTACTTGGTCCTCCCGGAAAGTCACTCATCACTGGCTAACGGCTGCTTTTGAATTTGGGCTCTCTCTTCTGTCCAGCAGAACCCCTAAGTGGCCCCTTAATGCATCCCTAGGCCCCACTAAAGGGTCTATGGAACCTTCGGAACCAAGCTGCCGTTGTGTCGATGAGAAAACAGTGGCCCAAGATATTAACTGACATCTCTTGTTCTCTTTGACTATACAAACTATGATGGGCTTGAGAGATAGTATGAAAGGTAAATCTCATTCCTTGCATGTGGCTCATGCCCTAGCCCCAACAAATAAACAGAAACTTTTTAAAATTGTTCTAGAATTGTTTTAAATTAAGTATGGTGGTTCCTAGCTTACTGGGTTGTTGTGAAGACTAGACATTGATGTCATATGCTCTGTACCGGAGTCCGTGGCCCTCATTTCCACTTCCTGATT